GCGAAAACACGCGGCGAATAGCTTCTTTCAAACTTTTCCACGCTTCCTTATCCGGCTCGCGCTCAGGTGACGGGTTAAGAAATCCGGTAAACACAGCGTAAATAGTTCATCAGCGAACGGGTATCGCAAAAGTTTCGCCGCAAAAGGGCTGACATCGTGATGACAGTAGCATATAACAAGGAAAAGCCAATTATAGAACAGTTTCACAGCAACTGCGATTTATATTTTTATTTATTTATTTATTTATTTTTTTTAGCTAGCTAACTTATTTATAAAACAAACAAGAGAAACGACAAAATTATATAACAAAAATATAGATTTACATTAGCGATGGTACTATTAACGCAATTTCAATTATTTATCGTAAATGATCTAAGCACATTGATAACAGCGGACGCTAAAATTACCGAGCCCTAAACGCGACTTATATACGATCGTGGACAAATACACAGGGTGGGCTGGAAAAAGTAAGAAAGAAATTTGTAACATTTTTTTATCCGAAACTCTGTTTCCGTGAAAATAGACTTCAAAAGTATGTTAATCTTTATAAAGGATTTAATTGTCGTCTATTCTTCTATCGCAGTTACCTTCGTCCGAGATAGTGTTTACAAACATTAATCGCACAGCTGCTTTTTAAAATGCAAACACATTTTGTATTTCATTGTTATCGTCTCAATAATTTTTAAACTAATAATAATAAACTAATAGCACGCGTATTAAGACAAGCGCTGTCGCGCTGTTCGGCATTTTTCGACCGTATTTTTTCAATGATCCCTGGGACTCAAACGGTTAAAGTCGATTTTCTTAAAAACGTAGTCCCGGATAAAAACATGCTGTACCAAAATTTTTTCTTCTTCACATAGAATTACCACCTCCTGTTATACTACGAATTAAGAAAGAAAGAAATTACGAAAGAAAATTATACTATGCCTCATTTGTCTTGCAATTCGCGCAGACAATTTTTATTTTGCATAAAGATCCGCAGCCTACCCCAATCACATCTGTAATATATACATATGTTTGCCAATAAGAATTTCGGCAAAATAAATTCCGAAGCTTATAATCTGTGAGAAATATTACACCGAAACAGGATTATATTTTCTATTTCGCTACATGCTTACATTCAAATTGGATCTAACTTACTGATACATCGGATACATACACTCTGTTAGTGCATCGTAGGATCAAGGGACTTCGCTCTCCAGTGACATAAACGATCGATGGTTTCCGCGGGGATGGAAAACGATTCAATAAACGATCGAAGTCGTTGCAACGAACGACACTGTTTGCGAGGGAAACGTATTCGAAGCGAATCGACCAGTTGGACAGTGTCTACTAGTCGTCGGAGTAATCTCGATATCAGCGGGTTAATCAATCACGACTGTTTTCGCGTGGATCGCCGCCTCTGATCCCTCTTATAACGAATTATGGATTTGCCGGGTGAGCTTAAAATTAAGCTGCTTACGGGCACCAATGAAACCTTACCCGTTCCCTTCCGTAGAGGCCGGTTATTTAATAGAGAAACGCAGGTCCGACTGTTATTTATCGTTCTGCGGGGCGCGCGCGACACCGTTTCGCAGTCACGACGGACGTGTTAATCGAAAACAATGATCGTCGTTTATCCGGCCCGTCTCTATTAGCGGCGAACTTCACGGGCCAATTTGCGGCCTGTGTTGCCGTCCAATTAAATCTTGCTCATTCCGTGCTTGTTCTTTAACGAGCCGTGCTCGCCACCGGCGAGCGCGAGTAACGATCCGATTGAAAATATCACGCGAACGTTCCTTCTTCTCGCGGCCGAACTCGAAGTGCCGGACTCGCTACCGGACCCCCATAGGCAAGATTGCCCATTGTTCGCCGTTGTTGAAGGCGTAGAGTGAAACGTACGGCCGCTAAATCGTTAGAAGCGGTACTGCTTGGCCTGTAACGAATTTGTAACACCTCGGTTCTTGCTCGGGCGTTTATGGCTTGCTGTGATTGCTTGCAGAGATTGATTTGCTGCGGTTGTTCGGCAAGGCTCGATGGCGAAGGGTTGCAGTCGGAAGATAGCAATTGTCAGTCGATACTTGCGGCCATTATTGGTGGTCTTTCGCGGCCGATAATGGTCATCGGAGAGACCGGCGTTTAATACGATCAATAGCTATATAACAGCAATTATCGTGGTCACGAGGGATCCATAATATCAACTGGCATTAAACGCATTGATCAGTTGTGGTTATTACTGTTCGGTGGTTGCCGTTGATACTGCCCTTAATGTGTTTAGAAGGGTGGCTCGTATTTACTGTTAACGAAAATTCAAGTTATAACCACGATGTTTAAACACTCCGTAGGAAGCAAACGGATCAGTATAAGTCGTGACATCTTCGAGCTGTCTGAGACCCCGTTGAAATCGTTATTTATTTTGTTTGTGGCAGGCATTAGAAGATTATGTACAACGCTAAATCTATCGAGAGTAACTAACTCGTAACGCTTTACAAGAATAACAATACAGATTTATTTATTTAAACTTCTTGCAATTTCTATTATAATGTACGCGTGGCTTAAACAATTGATTAAATTATTTCTTACGAAAGTATCTATGATACCAGCAATTTTTAAATAAATAATGCGAAACCAGTAGATTTAGCGTTAAACCACTACCTAGAGATATCGATGTATTTTTATTGTTTAACTCACCGAAACAATTAAAGAAAGATTTAGTCCATACGTCAGCAAATAACATTTATTTTGCATAAAAATCCGCAGTCGCAATGTAAACTTCATATCTTTAAAAGTAGCGAATAAAACTCGACAATCGTGATTTATATCGGAGCGTATCAGAAAAGATAGAGAGAAGAATTGAAAAGAAGAAATAGTCGTCGTTCAGCGAGTCTTCGGTTAGAATTCCGTTATGAAACACGAAAGATGCTTTGCATTGTGTCGTGCATAACATCCTAAAGACTGACGAGAATCGCAATAACGTTCTGCATCCTTTGGTACGCTGGAAGATCGGGATCAGTTCATCGACGGGAAACGCGATTAGAATCGATGCTATTCGTGACGGTTTTGCAGCGAGCTCGGTTGGGAAGGTGGCAATTTTCATTGCGGAATTGAGTTCGCCGGGATCCATTTTACAGGATTCCCAGCACGATGAAACTGTCGCTCCGCGCCGTCGGTTGTCGGCGGCGAGAAAAAGTCCATTCCGAAAGTGCCGCGATAGGAGTAATTACTTTCAAGATACGCTTTGCAATTGGACGTAATTCAAGCAAGCTCAATCTGTCACTTTATTCGATTAAGAAAAACGATTTATATTTGGAATTTCTTCTTATTCCGTCGCAGCAGAATGGAAATTTATAAATGGTTATAAATATTATTTAAACGAGTCAGTTTCATTCTTCGTCGAACTCATCTGTTCCCGAGTCGTCTACTGCGTCTCTATGTGTTCCATGTACCATTGAATCGAAATGAATAAAAAACAATTCTAAATTCTGACTGCTAATTCTTTTTGTATCGTTAACAGAAAATCGCATCGATTTTGATGACAGCGGAACAAGCATTGGAACTCACTTGGAAATATAATAAAATTTTATGTAAATTATTTGGAAAGTAATGCACTTCACTGGATTACTGGTCATTTTTTAACATTTTTTAATCTCGAAAACACGAGTAATGTAGAATATATTATTTAGCGGAAAATGAAGTACACATTTAACTAGAAATCTTTTGCAAAGAAAGAAATTGGCATGACATATAAAAGTCATTAATGAGTGAACAGTAAGTCAGAAGCTAGTTAAGGGAGAAATAGCATTGCAGAAACTCTTTACTTTTTACGAATCATGTCGCTTCATGATTGATTTACGTATGTCAAAAAGAAAATATTGGAATATTGTTTCCTATATACGTTCAACTATCTCGGAAACGAAAAATTTTACATTTTTCACAAAATATTTCCAATCGATTTTTCACCAGTTTTTCAGATTAAATATTCTATTATGCGCCATTTCGTGCCACTGGCGAGTTTGAATCGATTTCATTCATTCATTCCCTTTCGTATCGTGTTATTTTTAAGTCTCTGTTTGCTGTAAAAGTCATGCGATTTTGCTTATTGTTCTACGTACAGATGAATCATTTTCCACTGATTTCGCTTGTAAGGGGTTCGTGGAGCATTCAAATACTCGTGTTTAATAAAGCTGCTAATATATTCGAGAAACACCTGGGTGTTCCGAATGTTTCGGATCAATAATCACACATTTGCAAGATTGCATGATCGAACGAACATTTCGAACGTTGGCTTCAATATTGATAACCCAGTAAAGACCGAGCTGAATGCCTGTCTCCTGTACCTAATCTTTCCGAAGCAAGTGTTTCTTTTTGAAACACTGCAACCAAAATCATTGGGAGCATTACTAAAATTACTTAGAAAGTAATTCCCACTTTCTATCTTTTATCTGAGCCTATAAGGAAAATGTAAAAAATTGCATTTTGTCGATGAAATTTTCAGTATACAAAAAACGTGAATTTTTTATTTTTTCTATCGTTCGAAGGAGTAGCAAAATTTAAAAAAAATTATTTTGTTCATTCTACAGTAAACTAGTCCTTCTGACATGCCCAAAAAATTCAAGCCATTTAGTCCAGTTGAATAAAAAGTTAAACCGTTTTAAAAGGTGTCCGAAAACCTTTTACACCCCCTGTAACCTGAACCTAAATTCTTCCTTCAAATGCGAGATCACATCTTCGCTTTAGAAAATCTGTAAAAAGCGAGTGCCGTCTCTTTGTTGCAAGCTCTTCGAACGTAATCGTCGAAATTTCTTTATGATTTCAACAATTTGCAAAGATAATATCGACGGATTCGGTAGCTCCGCTGTTGAATAGCTCTAAGAAATTGTGCAAGAGCACAAGGACGGGCTTTTCCGTGAGTCGATCATCGCGACAAAAAGCGCGAACGATCAAAGGGCTTGCATGATTGCACTCCCCGCATACTGTGTGCAGTTTCCCGCGTGCTAACGACCGTTTCTGCCCCGTAGGTGTAGCCATGAATAATTCACTCGGTTAAGGGGTGAAATTTCTCCGACTTTGAGGCACCGAGAGAATCGACAACAACAGCGTCAAGATGGGCGAGATTCTCGGTTCGGCGAGCTTTCTCCACCTCGGCGACATCGTCAGCCTGTACGCGGAGGGAAGCGTCTCGGGATTTCTTTCTACTCTCGGGTAAGTTGTGAATATTCCTTTCAACTTTAAATCATTGGCGCCGGTTTACCATCAGCACGGCGACAGATGGATCAGCGATGACCCATTGTTCCGGAACTTCGGACGCGAGACGAAATTCTCCGGACCACTTTGTCATCGCGGAAGAGAGTCTTCGAGACGCTCGAGCTCTCCGGGAATATAATTAACCCCTTGGCATACAATGACGTCTGGGAAACGTCACTTGTTTTATATGCCATTTTAGTATTTCACGTTTCCCAGACGTCCGCACTGCGGGCGATCACGATCTCACGTTTCATCTGTTTTGTTCGTGTTGTTGAATCATTGTTTAATCTAACACTGAACCTACCGTGTCGGTCGAAATTGCTGGTTTCGCGTTTTTCATTTTAACCCTTAATTGGTATAATGACTTTCACAAAAATGACAGGTCATGAGATACTTCAAATAAGATAGACGGAATATGTTATTCTGACTCTAGATAAACGTTGAAGAAATAAATACGTGGTAAATTAAACTTTTACTACAAACTGAGATAGATATAATATTAATAATAATATATTTATTTTGTCAACGGGATGGGCACTTTCAGAGAATGTTGTATTAGCGCCATCAACGGCAGTAATAGCAACAGGAAGGTGATTAATGATATGTAATAGTAACAGTAATAAGAATAATTATGTGATAATAATGGTAATAACAATAAGTTCAAGAACTTAAGGATGGTTGCGAACAATTGAAGTAGAAAGAATAGCAATAACGATTGGCATTGACGAATAGGCGGATACAATGTTGGGGTCACTCATGACCCGAGTATATCAATTAAGGGTTAAAATTATTGAAGTTAACAATTACAATAAAACACGATATAATAAAAATGACGGGAAGTCTAAATGAATTCAGTTCTCATATCGGATTTTCATTTTATTTCTACCTGTTCAAAATTCGCGATAAAAATTTAAATTCTATAGAAAAACTATACAATTTTATTTCATTGCATGTAAAATATATTCGAATATCTGTTTTCTTGCTGTTAATGGCTATTATCTCGAATATGAAATGTCTGAAGTGGTAAGTTGTTGAAATTGAAAACAGAGTGATAACATTTGTCATACTCAACTATACTGTTTCGGGAAAATTAATTTTGACAATTCACGATGTGCCATCTAATGTGTTAATACATAACAGTAGCATATGAGTGGGTTAGAATCATAGTTGTGTAAGTCACATCTTTATCATTGCGAGAAACAGGGAGTTATTGTTTTCGAACATGTCTATTGTTTACTGACCAAATTTATTGTTAAAATAATATAGGGTTAAGTTAATTTCACAGTAACTTTATCATTTATTTTTACTGGCTTTTTTTTTTAACATTTCGACGGATTTTGTATGGATTACATTTTAAAACGTACGTTAGAATTTTCGTAAATGTGACTTACGCCACTGTAATTCCAACCCATTCATATAGCACTCGCGATTGTACATATTGTATTACTTGCGTCAATTACATTTTTTTGGCATTACTCGTTTGCGTCAAACCATTATCAGGCATCAGAACAATCGGCATTGTTCGCGTACGTGAAGAGCAGTGGATCTAATCAGCAAATGGACATGCACGTGAGATAAGACGATACTTAAGTGTTCATGTACCTTCTGCATGTTATTGTTCATGCGATTGATGTGAAGATATCTTGATTCGTCAAATGGATCACGTTTGTCCCAACGCTTATACAGATAGAATTCGAGGAAATGCATTACGTAGATGTCACAGTGAAAAATCCATGATTTCATTGTTTTCGTACTGTGATAATTCTTTAATCATTTTGATATCCTGTTGTAAACCCTGTTGCAAGCTAAGAAGTATTAAATAATCTATTAAAACTTGTTTTCCTTACCTCTGGTACAAGACTAAGAATATTTTCGTTGAAACTCATGTAAATCCTTAACGTGGCCGCAACCGGTACATCTACCCTAAATCGTTTTCCGATAACACGAATTAGACAACAATAGCAGTCGGTTACTTGCTCATGGTTTCGAGGAAGGCATTTTGCTTCGGTAACCGTCTCTGTACACGAGTAGTTTTTATCAGCTACTTGAAATTCGACGCATTCCCCGGGGAGCCGATTTCCCTCGCCTTTATATCACCGTTTCACGAACCAAGGGATCTACTACGTTCTGGCGTTTATCGTCCTCGCTCGACGATCAATCTCTCCATCGGGGTCGCAGGAAAAAAATTTTCCTCGCTCGCATGGGAGTCGAGCATATGACTAATCCTGATGCGCTTATAGCTATTCGAATTGTTTTCCGGAATACGCAAAGAACGATTAGATATTCGGGGTAAACACTGGTATCTTCTGCTCGAAAATCTTCCGGCTCGAGGAGAAGCAGTTTCTCGATCGTTTTTGAGTATGCTATTGTGGGTCAGAATTATTCAAATCCTCAGAAAACGAGTGCATACTTCTTTATAGATTCCTTGGCAGCACGATCATTGTCGGAATTTTTGTACTCTTTTACTGCATTGTTCAAGTAATTTGAAATGCGCACATTTTTTTGGAAGCTTAAACAAGATAAAACCAACTGGTAAACAAATTTGTCACCAATGCAGTTTGTAAAGGTTCTTTCTTTCTCTCAGAGTGGAAATGCTGCCACATTGTCCTTCCAGTTACCATGAAACGTTTGGTTTTTTAATAATTTAATTGCAATATATTCTTCTTTAAAATCTGACAATATAAATGAAACATAATTCGTTGATTTGAAGTGAAAAGCAAAAATGGTTCAAGTATTATTCTATTAGCAAAATAACATCGATTTAGAAAGCAAAGAAATATGTTCAAGTAAACCAATACAACGTTCAACTATAAATCAATTATTTAGTGGCATAGCAATTGTACGAAAATTTGTTACTGGCATACTAAAATTATTTAGAATCATCAGAATTAGACAAAAATTATTTTCGTTACAATACACTAGCTTCCGCTACCAAACATTCTCAAATACTTTTTTACATTTTCCCCAATTATCCTTCAGTTAGTAAACAAAAATTTCGGAAAAGAAGATTAGAAGATTATTCGAGCCTTGCGCCTCGTTTTTATAGTTCTTGACAATCGGCAATACATAACTAAAATATAAAATATATAACTATATAACTATAGTTTTCGATTGTCAACAACCACAAAAACGAGGCGCAAGGCTCGAATAATCGTATTTGTCCAAATTGTCCATTTTTGTCTATAAGCTGAAGAGCAATTCGGAAGAATTTACTGCACACGTGCACACGTGTAATAAGCGAATCCAGATCTAATATTAAATACGCAGGTACACGTGTTATATTAAATACACAGGTAGACGTATTGTATTAAATACACGGGCACATACGTATATTTTAACACACGTTGATGTAATTCTGAATAGCGAAGCGTGATCAATAGCCGACAACAATCTGTTCGGAGAACAAAAACGCCTCCAGTTGCAGTTGTCACGTAACCCGCCACGTAAAGACATATATGCATACGTGTCGGCGGAATCTGTGTGTAAAAAAATAGGCGGATCTCTATATCCGTCTACATGGATAATAAAATGCATAATTGCCCGTCTATTAAGAACACGAATACTTAATTCGCGAATACACACGGTTCGCGGATTCCGTGTACACGTGTTCCTTCGGCAAATACACGTTGAGAATTGTAGACTCTGGTTCCTAGAAACTTCCGTAAAGGTCGTTCCTCCGTCGATGCATTTCTGGAATTCTTAGTCGTCTATATATTTAGTAATAAAAAGTAAGTATGACATCGAAGGTCAGGTAATCCCTGCGAGACGGTGTGCCGTAGAAGAAAAAGGAGGCGAACCGTTTTAGCGGCGTTTACACGGAATTTCTATCTCGTCCGGGCCAATTTTCATGTAAAAAGCCCAGTTGGTCGCGTGCAACGGCGACAGGTGTTTGAATACGTAATCTCCTGGTCTTAAAGAGCGCCACGCAGGCGAACGAAAACACACAACGAATTAATGTGAACGATATATGTATGTATTCATCTTCCACGTTGCTTCGCCGTATATTTGATTATCTGCGAGGATGTGCTATCGCCGGAAAATTTCTGTCCGGAGCTGCAATCGTTTTTGCCCATCGTGCATATGCAAAGGATCATCCATTTAAGACGTCGTTCCACCGATCCAGTCCCGAAACATCCGTTTTCTTCTGCTTCATTTATCTAGTTACTTTGGGCGAACATACTGCGCGAGTTCTGTAGAGAGCTTTGAAGTATTTCGATTTCTATGCGATCATTGAAACGTGTTCTGCTCTTTATGATTTTTCAGCTAATCAAATTCGTCAATTTTAACCCTCAGGTATCTTCGCTGTTTATATCTGTGCACGCTTTATATGAATTATATGTTGTTTTAGGGAAGATAAAAAATTGATGTATCTTCAAACACAATAAAATGTAATACTTGTTATATAGCTGCGTACATATTTTATTTATTGAACCGAATGACAAAGCAACGATAGTATCGGAGTTCTAAATACGAATATTTCGCGTGGGGTACAAATCTACTCCGCGAAAGTACCTGAGGGTGAAACCAACACGTCGAACGCCGTATGTTTAATTCACGCTGCGTTTGGTCAAGAGATTGCGTAAGTTAATTATAGCTTGAACGACTGAAGGATTGGATTCTATGTATAGTAAAAGTATGTGACCACGGTGACGGCTCGTTTTCTCTAATATGGTAGTTGGCGCTTTAACAGTTTCATATTTCGCTTAAACGAAAAATTCGAACTCTGTGTATAATTCTCTTCTATGAAATGATGCGAAAAAATCGTATACCGCGTTCTACAGGGTCGTTATAAAGAAGAGGCATCAATCTTCAAATCTATGGTAGATTCGGTCGACAAATCAATTTTTTCCAAGATTTCTCGACAGGCTTTAAATCTGTAGGATTTCCGAGAACAACGTAGCTTCAGTTTCCCATTCGTTACATCGTACAAAACCATTGCAGAAAAAAGTAAACGACGT